ACCTCACTTAATGTAAAATTATCGAAAAAAACCCAAAAAGGCTTTAAAACGTGGTGGAGTAATCGAGTCATTTGGTTTATAAATTCAGATGTTACATATTTCGTGACAAAAAATTGACATTGGAACGACGTTTCCTTATAATCTGACGTAAATACGTCTTTTCTTTAAAATTATATTTAGGTAATAAATAAAATGAAAGGAAGTTTATATATATTAGCTTTAATCTTCGTAACTAACACTGTTTTTGCTGAATGACCCTTCCGTATAGACGTAATTTACGTCAAAAACTGATTTCAGAATACATTTAGGATGAAATGTAACCAAATTCGAGTAATTCTCTTTGTAATTTTTTTTCAACTACCAACAATGTGTAAATATGGACCGACAATGGTAAGCTTGTACGTGAACACCTGCGAGCATAGCAATGCAAGAAAAAATATTGGTATCTCTAAAGCATACGTTCAACAATCTCGGCCGAGCATGCCATAAGGCTCATTTCTCGTTTCTTATGCATGCATTATAATAGCCTGAATGAACCGTATTGCACTCCATTCCTTTACCTAAGAAACTAATTATTGCGTCATCTGTTTCTCGATATTGTTGTGTTTCATTACTACTGTCAACAATACGCTTTCGTCAGTGTCTAATGAATAGATTTGTGAACCACTTGTAGAAGAAGTGCGTCGTAAAGTAGATAATATTGTGCTGTTAAGAAACATTTTAGAATATCACAGGTACTTATTTTATTTAAGAATTATTAAGAAATCTGTGATACTGCCCTCTAATCTCTCCATTTTATCTCTGATTAAATTTATCATTGGTGTTGGACACTGAGGTCTCTTACAGTTGAACAAAGTTTGAGGTAAGGAATTTCTATTTATTATTATTGTTCATCACATTTAATGTTTTCATCTGCATTTGTGAACTCGTGTAAGAGAATTAGGCTTCTCTTCTTTCTAACACAATTTCAATTAATATTAGATTGACTTCTGTTTGTTCACATTATCATAATATTCCAGAAATCAATTAACATTTTAAAATTTTGAAGGGATGAAACGTGTTTAGTAGCCCAGAATCTTAATAAAACCTATATTGATGTTAAAAAGTGTTGTATATATTCTGAATAATAATTCTGACACTTTACATTTCTTGATACATCGACATTTTTAAAGCGATGTAAGGAAGTGTGAAAAATTTTTATTTCGGTTTTAAAAGCCAAATTATCGAGATTTCTTCCTCTTGTTATCTTCCTATAAAATTGTATCCAAAATTCTTCTGGAGATGTGACTCCATATCCCAATGGAATTATTGGGAATCATCAGTGTGCGTTCCGTTGTAATAGATGTGCAACTGATCAGATGTTCTAATTCGCCAAATGCTAGAGAAAAAGTGGGAGGTAAGCATTTGTCCGATATATTTCCTATTCAGAATGTCTTGAAACAGGGAGATTCTCTATCGCCGCTGCTTTTCAATTTTGCTTTAGAACATGCCATTAAAAAGTTCAAAAAAGTCATGGCGATTTTGAACTGAAAGTGACACATCAGCTGTTGGTCTCTGCTGATGGTATTAATCTGTTGACTGATAATATAAATACTATATCGGATTAAATCCGGGGAAAGTTTGATATAATTCAGTGCAAAGTATTTATGGGTGCAAAACGTGGTCTTTCACTTTGAGGGAGGAACATACACTGAGGGTCTCTGAGAACAGAGCGTTGAGGAAGATATTTGGACCCAAAACGGGAGTGGGACAGATAACAGAGAAAGATGCATGACGAGCTCTTAATCCGATGTTTTTAGGGGGGCGGGAGTGGGCAGGGGAGTGTTGTTTACAAGGCTTGAAGGGAGGAGACCTCTGGGAAGACCTCGGCTTAGGTTGGAGGATAACATTAAGATGGACCTTAGGGAGATGGGACTCAATGGAGAGAACTGGATGCAACTGGCTCAGGATAGACCCCGGTGGCGGGTTTTTTGAAAACGATGATGAACCTCCTGGTTCAGTAAAGGAAGTGGACTATTCTTTCACGAGCCGAGTACCAGTCGACTTTTCATAGAATATCTCGCACATTGCAGTGTGTGAGTAGTGATCTACGCATGGGGTAGAACAACGTAGACCTTATAAACTTTAATTCTCTTGTTCATTTGATAAATTTAAAAGACGTATTGTGCTTGTAGTGTATATAAATGTGTAACTTAGGCAGGAAAGTCCTTAATCATGTAAGCTCCTAAGCACTTTTAGTTCTACACAGAGAGAAAAACTCGAAAATCTTATGTTTATGAAAAGGCGTACTCTTCTTTTCCAAAATTTATTTGTTAACTGTCTGTTTCTGCATCAAAGATCACATAATTTCTATGGCATAACTTTTTCGTAATTTTTTTAAACCGGTTCACCAGCGTAGAAGCATCTAAGACTTTATAGAGTACATTGATATTTTATACGCAATGTCTACGTAATTTACTTATAAGAAGAATTAACCTGCTGTCAGTAATGACAAACACGCGGCATGACTTATTGACTGAATCAGTCACATCTTCGGGGTGATTAAGCCAAGAAGAATGAGGTGGGTGGGACAAGAGGTGTGCACCGGGTATTTTTGGGAAGCCTGAGGGGAAGAGACCTCTGGGGAGACCTAGACGTAGACGGGAGGATAATCTCAGGCGAGATCTATGGGAGATAGGAGTTGAAGGAGACAGGATTTTGTTGGTCCAGGACAGGGTCCGGTGGAGGGCTTTGGTTAGTTCGGTGATGAACCTTCGGGTTTCGTAAGCCATCTAGTTGGTTGGGTCCACTATTTGGGAAGCCTGAGGGGAAGAGACCTCTGGGGAGACCTAGACGTAGATGGGAGGATAATCTCATACGGGATCTATGGGAGATAGGAGTTGAAGGAGACTGGATTTTGTTGGCCCAGGACAGGGTCCGGTGGAGGGCTTTGGTTAGTTCGGTGATGAACCTTCGGGTTTCGTAAGCCATCTAGTTGGTTGGGTCCACTATTTGGGAAGCCTGAGGGGAAGAGACCTCTGGGGAGACCTAGACGTAGATGGGAGGATAATCTCATACGGGATCTATGGGAGATAGGAGTTGAAGGAGACTGGATTTTGTTGGCCCAGGACAGGGTCCGGTGGAGGGCTTTGGTTAGTTCGGTGATGAACCTTCGGGTTTCGTAAGCCATCTGGTTGGTTGGGTCCACTATTTGGGAAGCCTGAGGGGAAGAGACCTCTGGGGAGACCTAGACGTAGATGGGAGGATAATCTCATACGGGATCTATGGGAGATAGGGGGT